TCTATACTATGCAATTATTCAAAATGTAAAGCCATTCAGTCTAATCAGTACAGATGACTGACTTAAAAACATCCTTTACAGATGGCTTGTTTATACCTTTTTCCCCACCAGTTCTACAAAAGTCTAACGGATTTCAGTTTGGTTTTCCTCTTACCAATCCTCTCATCAGTTCTGAACTTAATATTAAGTCCAATTCATTACTTTTGGTACTATGTAATATAGTAAGTTAAAAATGACATAAAAGATTTTATGGATAGGTAGAATCACATACCAGTTTTCACTTGGACTTTGAAAGTAACACCATCATGGAATTCTGGAATTTAATCTTAAATATCCAGCGATTTTGTTTCCTACTCTGAATTCAAAAGTCAGCAGTATTTAAATGCATCTATTGGTAAGCATCATGAAGAGGACAATTAATTTTATTGCTGTGAAATTCCTCAGAGACCAGCAGCAAAAAGAAAAAAAAAGTAATGGTGGTTATTTTCTACCTTCTGTCTTCACAGGATATGGGATGCCATTTTCCATCTATGAAAAGGCAAAAATCTTTAATCAAGCAAGTACAGAATAATAAAAAAGAATATTAATTATGAATTTTTGCATAATGTTTACTTTTGGAACAATTATTTTCTAACAATAAATATTAAAGCTATCCTATTAAAGTAAAATACAAAATCCATCTAGATTTTTATACTTTACTTTTGTGACAAATAAAATGCACGTATTCATTGTATGCAGCATGATCTTTGGGTACATCTACGGATTACGGAATGTCTAAAGCAGATTAATAACCCCAATGCCCCCACATTAGTATGATCTTTTTCATAACAAAATGTTTTAGATATATTCACTTAAAAAATTTTTAAGAACAGCTTTTTGAAAAAAAAAACAACTATTTATTATTTGAAGGAGTTGCAGTGGAGATGCCAGGGTGAGGACAGGATTAAGCTGATGGAGAATAATTAGCCAGGGTGAAGCAGAGAGGACAGACTTCAGGAAATGGGACAGGCCAATGGCAGAGGAGCACCTGGAGACCCACAGGCATGGGGAGGTAGCAGAGACAAAAGAGTGGTGTTGCAGTGACCAGATATGCCAGTGGCAGTGGAGCCACCCGTGATCAGTGGTTGGAGCTCTACTGACAACCAGGTGGGAAAGGCAGCTCACCAGGATATCAGGGGATAACCAAGGCAAAGACATGCCTTGTGCTGCTGAGTCGTTTGATCTGATCATGAGCAGAGGTGGAGCTAACTAAAGATGTGGGAGACTTCTACAATGAAAACAACAAAACACTTTAAAAAATAGAAGAAGACACTCAAAGATGGAGAAATCTGCCATGTTCCTGGATCACCGGCATCGACATCATCAAAATTTCCATATTACCCAAAGTAATATACAGATTCAACATGATCCCAATCAAAATCCCAACATTCTTCTCAGAAACAGAAATATGATACAAAAGTTCTCCTGGAAATGTAAGAGGCCATGAAGAGTCAAAACTATCCTGAAGAATAAAAATCAAGTGGGAGGAATCACAATCCCACACGTCAAGACATGCTACAGGATAGTGGTCAACAAAATAGCCTGATATTGATACAGAAACAGAGAAGATCAATGCAACATGATGGCAATCCCAGAAGGGAGCCCAATCATGTGCAGCTAACTCATGTTCCACAAGAGAACTGAAAACAATCCAAGGAAAAAGGCTGGTCCCTTGTAAAAAATGCTGCTTGGACAATTGGGTAGCAGCCTGCGAAATAGGAAGCAAGACCCCCATCAGTCACCATATAAAAAAATCAGTTCTAAATGGATCAAGGACATAAATCTGCACCTGGAAACCATCAAACTATTGGATGGAAAGATAGGATGCACTCTCCAAGATGTAGGTGCTGTGAAAGATTGCTTAGAAAAGTCACCAAAAACACGAGCTGTCAAACCCAAAATAAACAAATGGGATTATATCAATCTAAAAAGCTTCTGTACAGCAAAGGAAATGATCAACAAAGTGAAAAGGCAACCAACAGAATGGGAGAAAATCTTTGCTCACTACACAAGTAATAGGGGATTCATGTCTAGGATTTACAAAGAGCCTCAGAGACTCAACGACAGTAAAACAAGCAACCCTGTGAAGAAATTGGCAAAGGAAATGGACATTTAAAAAAAAAGAAACAGATTCAAATGGCTAACAGACATATGAAAAGATGCTCAAGCTCCCTAGCTGTCAGGAAAATACAAATGAAAACCACATTGAGGTTCCACTTAACTCCAGTGAGATTGACCTATATTCAAAACTCTATTAACAACATCTGCAGGCATGGATGTGGGGAGAAAGGTACCCTCTTTCACTGTTGGTTGGAGTATAGACTATTACAACCACTATGGAACTCACTATGGACAGTGCTAAGAATTGAAAACCAACCTGCTGAATGACCCAGCTATCTCACTTCTAGGAATATACCCAAAGGAAAAGAAATCTGCATATGATAAAATTAACTCCACTCATATATTTACAGCATCACAATCTACAATAGCAAAGACATGGAAACTACCCAGATGCCATCCTCCTCACCACTGAAAGCCATCCTCTGCTTTCTCAGGCCATAAGCAGGAAGCTAGATGGGAAGTGGAGCAGCCAGGGCATAAACCAGTACCCATATGGGATCCTGGTGCCTGAAAAATAAGGATTTAGCCAGTAAGCCATTGCATTAGGCCTGATTGTTTCCTTAATTCTTCAAATTTCATAACTTTCTCATTCTCTGTTTTTGCAACTCTATTAAGATGTTAACTTTATTTTAACTTTGCCTAGCTACATTTTCTTTATTTTCCATTGTTTACCTATTTGCATTTCAATTGGATTACTTACATTTTCTGCTGACTTAACTTCCAGTTCACTTGTCTTTTGATTCTCTACCTTTTTACCTGTTTTTAAATCATTTTCTTGTGCTTCCTTGGGACATAATGATCATTGTTTTTTGTGATATTATTGTTATTAAATTTCATACTCTGGGCCCGGCCGGGTGGCGCAGTGGCGCAGTGGCGCAGTGGCGCAGTGGCACAGTGGCACAGTGGCGCAGTGGTTAAGGTCCTTGACTTGCACATCCGGGATCCCATACGGTCGCCAGTTCTAACCACAGCAGCCCGACTTCCCATCCAGCTCCCTGCCTGTGGCCTGGGAAAGCAGAGGAGGACAGCCCAAAGCTTTGGAACCCTGCACCTGTGTGGGAGACCAGAAGAGGCTCCTGGCTTCGGATCGGCATAGCATCAGCCGTTGCGCTCACTTGGGGAGTGAATCATTGGTCGGGGGATCTTCCTCTCTGTCTCTCCTCTCTGTATATCCACCTTTCCAATAAAAATAGAATAAATCTTTAAAAAAAATTCATATTCTGGAGAGTAACTGGGTGTATTCTAGTTTTTTCCCCTACATTTCGATGATACATTTATGTCTTTGGGTGTTTCTAGTGATATTTTTAAAACTATGGCTACAGTTTATTAGTAGTTGTGTCTTGAACAGATTCCAGTACATGTTACTTATCTCAAATGAGTTTTCATCTATGTCTCTCTAAATTAATATAGTAATTACTCCTCTTAAACCATTGCTGTTTTGAGACGCGGTAAATTTCCCTTCTTAGGAGCATATTTTTAAGATTTATTTATTGTTGTTGGAAAGGGAGAATTTTAGAGAGAGAAAGAGAGATAGAAAGCTCTTCCTTCCACTAGCTCACTCCCCTGATAACCACAACTACCGGAGGTAAGCTGATTGGATGCTGAGAGCCAGGAGCTTTGGTGTGTCTCCCTCATGGGTCCAGGAACTCACCATCCTCTAGTGCTTTCTCACACTCATTTGCAAGGAGCTGGATCAGAAATGGAGCAGCCAGGACTGGAGCTGCTGCCCATATTTGATCCTAACACTTGCAGGTGGAACATTAACTAACTCCCTAACCACCTTTAAAAAAATAGGTACTTTCTCTTTTTTTTTTCTTAAACACTGATTTTTACAGAGAAAGGAGAAACAGAGAGAAAAGTGAAATGCTTTTAATATGTAAATATTTTAATTATGGCAGCTGAGGTGATGCTTCTGTTGCCTAGTAAGAAGAAGTGAGAGATACAGCTAGATAATTTATTTTGCATAGCTCAGACCCTCGCAAAAATTTACTAAGGCTAACATGTCAGCTAATTTTTATGAAACTTGCCCTGATCTTAATAGAGATTCATTGGGTTGAAGTTGACTTACACTCTATAGCACTCAATCCACCTCTGACTGATTCATATCCTCCAGAATTAAAATCAGATCATGATGTATTCTCACAACTTCCAATTCATGAATTTAACACATAAATTTAGAAATGATGTGATTGTGTAGAGACAGCACAGAATTTAGCAGTTTTGCTTTATGCGATAATAGCAAATAACACTAGAAAAGCTCCAAATATACCAAGACCTAAGATCTCTAGTGTTTGTGCTAGTTATAATTTCTTTTTTCTTTTCAGAAAATCTTTATTTTTATTGACAAGGAGGATATATAGAGTGGAGATACAGAGAGAAAGATCTGTTGTCTGCTGATTCATTCCCCAAGTGGCAGCAACAGCCAGAGCTGAACAATCTGAAGCCAGGAGACAGGAACTTCCTCTGGGTCTTCCATTTGGGTACAGGGTCCCAAGGTTTGGGGCCAGCCTTCACTGCTTTTCTACATCATGAGCAGGGTGCTGGATGGGAAGTGAAGCAGCTGGGGTATGGATGGGTGCCCATATGGTATCCTGGCACATGCAATGCGAAGACTTTACTCTTTAGGCTATCATGCCATGTCCCATATCTGTTTTGCTGTTTTCTTACAAATAATTGCCCATTCTGTGTATATTCTATAAACTGAGAATTGTGCATGAAAAATGGAAGTACTTAATAAAGGCAAATATTAAGTAATCACACAATTCAATACGAGAAAAATAGATAATGTCTTTAAGCTAACTGTAGTTTTCAGTTCTTATTTTTGCCACCCTGCAATTAATTCATAAAACTATGTGCCGATATAGCATTTTCCTCATGGAGACTTTGACTTCATGATTGCGAAGTGTATATATCACAGGATTCATTAAGGGAAAGATGACTGTGTGGAAAAGAGAAACCACTTTGTCAGCTGGGAAAGCCCGGAAGGGGCGAGTGTAGATAAAAATGGCAGGGCCAAACATGAGGAACACAATGATGATGTGTGTGGTGCATGTGGAGACTGCCTTGCTCTTCCCCTCAGAGGAGTGACCCTTCACACGGCACAGGATGACAGCGTAGGAAGCCAGAAGCCCCAGGAAGCACAGGAGGGTGAGCAGCCCACTGTTGGAGACCATCAGTAACTCCACTACGAAGGTGTCCGTGCAGGCCAGCTTGATGACCTGTGGGACGTCACAGAAGAAGTTATCCAGCCTGTTGGGGCCACAGAAAGGCAAGTGCAGGATTAGGGCCACTTGCACAATGGAGTGGGCAAAGCCCCCAATCCATAGGATCAACAGCAATGCATAACAGACACTGGGCTTCATGAGGGTCGAATAGTGTAACGGCCGGCAGATGGCGATGTAGCGGTCAAAGGCCATCACCACAAGAAGAAACATCTCCCCAACTCCCAGGAAGTGCAGGAAAAAGAGCTGAGTGATGCAGCCTCTGTAGGAGATGACTTTCTTCTCAGAGAAGAAGTCCACCAGCATCCTGGGAGCCACGATGAAGGAGTAGGACACATCCAGGAAGGCCAAGTTGCCCAGGAAGAAGTAAAGGGGAGCAGAGAGCCCAGGGTCTGATCTTATGGTGAGGATGATGAGGAAATTGCCAGGGAGAATAATGAGGTAGAAAATGAAGACCAGCACAAAGACGAGGAGTTGAACATCGTGAGACTGCGTCAGACCAAGGAGGATGAACTCTGTCACCATTGTGCTGTTCTCTGCCTCCATCACTTCTCAATCTACTGAAAAGCCAAAACCAAGTGTGAACTTCTGTAATGATCCTTTTTATTTGTTTCATAACTCCAACTCCAGAGAAGAACAGTATTTGTTGCACTCCACAATAGTCTCTGAAAGCAATTTGTGCACCATATTCTAATGCACAGGAGATCATGGATCCATCTGTACTCAATTACTCATTAGGACATTATTATTCTGGGCACACGTTAGTTTCTAGTTAATTATACACTTTGATGTAACTTACTTCTATTGGACCATAAGGCAGTTTTCTGACGCTATACTAGAAATTTGTTGATCAAGAAAAATCAGCCACAATTACAATTCTCTATTTTTTATTCCTATATTTTGCTGCTCCTTGTGGTAAATAGTTGCTTGATATTGATCCCTTCTCTTATCCTCACATAATCAAGCACTTTGGCAGTTGTTTTTTCCCTTCATTTCCTATAGGATTTTTTTTTTAAATCTACTGTTAAACAATCGCATGTTGGAATATATACACATATTAATTTATGTGTGAGTTAGTTGGTTACTCTGCTTTGGTGTTTCTATACAGACCTCCTCCGTATTCAAAGGTTACGAAGATTTCAAACAGAATTCTACATTGCACCTAACTTAGAGATGATCACATAGTTGCACCCCGGCTGGATCCCTTTATGTCCTCTTTTTCTTGAATTATTCTTAAATTCCAAATGGTGCAAATTAATTCTCATTTGGTCACTCTATGTCCATAATCTGCTTCTTCCTCACAGGTAAGAATTACAGTTACCAGAATAATGGCTGATAACCTACGGCTCATTCCTTCCACACAAGAAGTAATCAGCAACAAGAGCTTTTGAAAGGAAGAGCTTGAGTGGGTGAGATCCGTGCAACACAGAAACCTATATGGCTGCAGAGAAAAACAGAGTGCTCGCTGGCTGAGGGATCCTCTCCCCAGCAAGGATGATCTCAGAGCGTTAGGGATTTTCTCCTGTGTGGAAAAAATAAGCAGGAAGTTCCCCACACGTCCAATCAATTCCAAGAAAACTGACAGTCTTGATGCTAGAAAATACTGTAGCCCTCACAGGCTCCAAGTCCTGTCTGAGGTTGTTGGGAGTTTATACTGGCTTTGATCCTCCCATGGAAGGTGCCCATATTACACCACTGATATCCTTACTATTGCATGAACCATTTCAGAAATGAAGCTAGCACTAGAATGTGTCCTGCTCTGGGGGCAAGCAGGCATTATAATTCTGCCTCTGTGGTTCTTGTATCATTTCACCATTTTCACTATCCTTGAAGTCACCAGCCACTCTCAACCTGAAACAACGCCACCCCCAGAGATGTGTCATACAGAGTCATTGCAACCGACCCTCTACACCTTCCTCCACTGCCACACACATCTCAAGCAAAGCAACATACAGGGTTTCCAGCTGGTCAGCTCTGCAGGTCCTTTCTTGGCTGTGGTGGCAGACTATTACACCTCCCTCAGGCTCATATCAGGTGTCTTTGCTGATCACAATGAAATAAACCTAGAAGTAAATAGCAGAAGAAACAGATTCTTGGGTGAAATTCAACATCTCATGACAAGTACGCTCAACAACTGAAATATAGAAGGAACAAATTTGAACTGAATAAAGTTAATAAACAACAACCATACCCCCTGCCCAACATCACTTCCAAGGAGAAAAAGCTAACATTTGTCTTGAAGGTCTAGAACAAAAGAGGGATGCTCATTTTCACCACTCAACTCACTATCAACAAAGTAATGGAAATACAAGGCAGATAATTTAAGCAAGAGAAATAAATGAAAAGCAACAATATTGGAAAGGGGAAAGTTGATTTGTCACTGTTATCAGGCATAATGATCTTGTATGTAGAAAACACTGAAGACTCCACCATAATAATGGTTACAACTAATGAATAAATTAAATAAAGTTACGTGGTATAAAATCAATAAAAATCATCTTAAAATAATAAGAAAAAATTATTTAATATAGCAAATTAATTAGATAATAATAGTTCAATCTATAATGCATTTAGAAAATGAAGAAGATATAAATTAATAGTAAGATACTCATAGCTGTAGATTGGAATAATTAACATTCCACATAATCCTTATGTACCAATGACATTCTTCACAATAGTAAAAAAAAAAAGACAATCATAAAATTCATATAGAACTACAAAGACTACCTTTAGGCATAATCTTAAACAATAAAATAAAGCTTGAAGCATCATACTAACCCGGTTCAAAATATGAGTTCAAAATGCACATACACCCTCGTAAGCAGTGTAATGGAGCCTACAGTACTGAGGCATACGGAAGTGCTTCAGTATACATTTCTACTCAAGAATAAAAGAAAGAGCCAAATGAAACTATTAAATACTCCATGACAGCAAGATACTAGATTCCCTCCCCTACATAATAGGAAATAAGAGAGCAATGCCATATCCCATAGATATGCACAGCTATTAAGTGAAATGAAAAATAAAAAGTAAAGTAAAAAGAACACAATTACATAGAAAAATATGACATTTTAACCGTATTTTATTTGCTATTTTTGAGATGACATTTTAAATTTTCATTATACTCAAAGGCTTAATGCTCCACTAAATAAAAAACTCAACAAATAAAAAAGACCATAGTTCAGCAGGAATGTAGCAAGGTCTGCAAGCAATAATCAAAGGAAAAGATGTTCAACTTCACTCATGCAGAGTAAACTTTAAAATAGTCACAGGTCATTAAAACTATGCGATGGTCTGAAATGTCCTTTCCACAAATATTCTTACATAATACAAATTCATATTGATTAAATTACATTGATTATTCAATTAACAAAGTTAAAGAAAAAACTGGAATTAGCCATATGAAATATAAAATATGAGAAAATAAAATGTTTACAGTTAAGTTTCTTATATTTGCAATGAGTTTTCTTCCTTATTCACACTAGCAAGTGGTAAGAAGAAATGAGTATTAGCAACTCACAAATTGATACTATTTTGTTTAGGCACTTAAATATTCATTGTATTGTTTGTCTCAATAGTTTAGTTTATAGACATTAATATTACCTAAGTATTAACAATTATAGCCTTCCTAGAGAAACCCAAAATTAGAGCCAGTTTTACATAGTTTTCTCCAAAGTGATATGTACTAAACCCAGCCTGTGTATAATAATCCCATGGGTTTGTAGAAACAGTGGAACTTCTCCATACATCATGTAAGCTGTGCTTAAAAATATTTTCATATTTTAATTATTTCTAATTTGATTACACAAACACATTTTACAAATAGAAACTTAGGTTTGACACTTTTGCCTGTTTTAATATTGGAATGGGTGATTTTAATACTTAATTTCAAACTGCTACAGATACATGGGATTGCAACTCTTCAATTAAATGAGTTAAACACTTATACCTGCAACAATGTATATGAGACCCAAACACACTATGCTAGGTGACATGTTCACATCATAGAAGCTCATAAATCGAGGATTAACTTTGTAGAAAAATCTGTAGAAATGACAAATTGACAGACAGAAAACAGAATGGCATTTGCCTTATGCTCAAAAGTAGTAAAAGCTGTGACTGCTGACAGATAAGGTCCCTGCTGAGCAGGGAGATGGGATGGCAGAGCTGTGGGCTGTATACAATTTTATTGTTTTTCAGCCAAATGAATAAACTTAAGATAAGTTTGAAAATGATTAAAATTAAAAAAAAAAAAGAAAATGAGAGTTATTTCAAAATACTGTAGCAACTCCACACTTTTAGTTATTTAAGATGTACCAAATTTGAAAAATGGGAATCATACGCAAAACGAATGTAATCAATACAGATGTTGAGGACATTATTGAAGATTAGGATTCCTATATAAATATTTACCCAGTAATTACTTAATGGTTAATTTACATGATAGAAACTTTCATAGTGCCAAATAGTGAAAGATTTTCAGAGGTTATAAAAAGAGCTTGATTTGGCATTTATTCTCCATTTTTAATATCTTCAATTAATTGTATCAATTTAGGTAGGTTCTCCAGTCCTTAAGAGCCAATTTTTTAAATCTATGCATGAGAAATAATATTTAAACTTTTTATTCCATGTAATTAATATGAAGACCAAATAAGTATATGGGTAGCCAATGCATCTATTTAAACTGGATTAATATAGAAAACATTCAGTAATTAGAAAAATTTGAGTAAGAAATGTTAGGTGATCTTTTGTCGCTGTCCTTGACTGTGTGGGAGACAGTGACTGTTAAAATCTAAGTGAATTTCACAGTAGCAACAGGAAAGCGTTCAAAGGAAGGCCCATGTAAAGACTGCTTGGTTAGCCAGAATTGAGGAATAAAGGGTTTTTTTTTATTTTGGAGGCCCATTCTTTGCTGGATTATAAGACTCTATGTCAGACAAGAAATCATGTTTAAAAAAAAGAAATCATGTTAAATGAGTATTGGCGCTGAGAGGTTTGCACACTTACCAAGTCACTGAGATCTGTGGCAGTCGGTACTTACTGATTTCTTCTCTTCTGATAATTTCTAATGGGAGAAAACAATCATTTATATCACATTAATATTCAAGATAAGATGGTTGAATTTTTCAAAGCTCTTAGCTGTTTAATTTTGTAATTTCTAACAGTAGTGTTTCAGTTTGAGCTTCTTTAATTCTTGGCATCAGACTTTGAAGGAGGTTTATTTGAACAATAGGGTATAAAGTGCAATGCATCTATTTTGGAGCTCTCACTATTTTCTGTCAAAATATTGTTGTGAATTTCAAAATAAAAGAGATCTAATATGAATGGTGCTATTTTTTCTCTCTTTCTTTTAAAAAAGAATGGCCAAAATGTTCACCTTTTCAGAAGTCCAGTGCTACTCTTAAACAAGTGCCTATCCTCCTCCATGTGATGAAAGGGAAACCAGCTGACCATGCCAGTGTTACTCCTTAAATAGAAACGCTCACGTTGCCACCCTGTTGATTCTGCATTCTGCTCAACTCATTCGTGATGCAATCTACAGGATA